ACCCTTCCCCGCCCCCACACCCCTTCCGTGGACCACAATGTCACTACTGTCGTCGTTACAACACCACCACACCCATACCCTGGTGATATTAGTGATAGGTGGCTCGACCACCCCGCCCAACACTCCACCCAAGGATAACCGCACCATTATTGTCGGCATTACAACTAACACCCCTGCCCCCATCCCCGCCCCACCCCCACCGCGCTACACCACTACTTTTTTTTTTTTACAACTACCATTCGCTCACCACTACCCATCCATATATATGGTTGGTGGAGGCGGGAGAGTTTAGGCTAGGGTCATGTGGTAGTTGTTGAGACGATAAAACTCTGTATTCAAAATACTAAAAACATGGGTAACGAAGTACTCGAAAACAACACCTTTCTATGATAGGGGAGATCCAATTACATTAAATGTGGCAGAACACAAAAGTAGGCAACATCAATGTGATCAGACTGCTCCTCAGTTTCATTACCTTTAGTGCACACTATAACGAGGGTCATCTCAAGCCCTTAAAACCGTTAGTGTCTACTCTATTGAGTTTCACCTGAAGGCTACAAATCTTTAGTGCACACTTCTTCGAGGGTCACCTCAAGAATACCGAATCTTAGTGCCCATTCATTCTCTAGAGAGTTTCATCCTCAAGGTTCTCATTTGACCTTTAATGTCTACTCTCTAGCATTGAAAATATGAACCTAAAACTTCGTACTTGATACACAACACATTAAATCTTCATGCATAAGAATTAAAACATCAAAACTGCAATACTCACGCTCTCTAAGTGAGACTCATAAGTTCACCTCCGTAATTTCGTGACCACTACAATGCCTACTCAAGCATGGGTTGCAAAGGGAGGACAAGAAGACTCCTCACTTATCAATCTTGACTGACTCATATGTCTATGGATCGAGCAATACATTTTAAATCACATGAGACCAAATGAGTTACTAACACACTCAAAACATGTAATACACAAATATGCAATTAATGCATTATACATTCGAAGCTCCACATTGAGCTATTAAAACCAGACAATTGTCCCCTGAACTCATTTGAGTTAAGTTCAAGCCCAAAGTCCTCACAATACACTTGACTATCTATGTAAGCCAATATAAAACACATAAGCCGAAAAGACATATTTTCCAAACTTTTAAAACTCACGTGACTCTTATAGCATAAATAGGTCCATAAACCATTATCTTATTAAAACATAATAGTCAAAAGGTCCAAAACTATATGGTTTTTACTTTCAAAATCCTCACAAAGCCAATGAAGGCACCTATCAAAAATTTATGCATTTATGACCAAAAGGGCCAAATGCCATCATTAAAGTTCATAAGTTGGGTTAAATTCCATGTAATACTTTTCAAGAATTACAACAATGTATTGCTCCCAAATCCAAATATCCAATAAATCTCATTTAACACAATAAATATCTTTACAACAATCATTGAATGTCTATACCTCAAAATAACCAATAAATCCATTATAGAAGTCCTTTCAATATTTTAAAACCCAAAATATACTCAAGTGAACAAAATCATAAAATCGTCAAATATGGAACAACCCATCAAGATATATTTAAAATCTAAAATAGAGATATTTTGACAGACTTAGTTTTGCAAAGCAATCTTAGAATTCACTTTGCTAGATTTATGCTAAATCTAGGTTCTACCCAAAACTCGAGCTTCCTTGGGTGGAGGATTTGGAAAACTTAAGCCAAACGCCCAATATACAATGTGAAACTCCCAAGAACAATTCCACTACTCCTAAATCTCAATAATATACCATAAGAAGGAAATTAGGGGTTGTAGGTGCAAAAAAGACCAAAACCCTAGATTAAGATATGAGAACTTAGATCTTACCTCTTACTTTTAGGAACCATGAATCACCAAAAACTCTCTAAAATCTCTAGAAATCGGACCCCCAAAGTCCCAAAATGTTCAAGGTGAAAAGAAGGTGGTAGAGGAGGAAATGGTTTGGTGGGAGAAATGAGGAGAGGCAGAATGGGCTGGAACTGTGCCTAAAACGTTGGACGCACGACGTGACCTGTCGTGCGGCTAAAGCCGCATGACCCTCCCATGTACACGACATACAACACAACTCTGCAACGGGACGCCTTCCACGTGCCGCCTCGAACCACTTGCCCACGTGCCGCCTCAAGACCACATGCCTACGTATGGGGCGCTTAGCACCATGCAGAGTAAGTCTCCCAACCAGCCCGCCCGATTCTTTCCTCCATGCCTTCTCGAAGGATCACAATCTAGTAGCTTAGGTGACTTACCATGCTTCTTTTAGCCGCCTAGTAAGTCGCCCACACCACTGATCAGCCCAAAACTTCCCAAACCTGCTACCACCTTGACTAGGCAACTCATAAAAGGTAAACCTTATGTCTCAAAACCCAATATTTCAAATGGTAACGATGTTTCTACCAAAAAATTCTTAAAATCACAGGTGTTGCATTTGCTTAATGACTACTTAAACTTTTTGTATACTTTTTAAGAAATGTTATATTTCTTTCCATGCAGCTCAATCTTTTGTTGCTCTTTTCAAAGTTTACAAACATTTAATATGTTATATAGTATCAACAAAAAACACGTTAACGTAATGGTTTAGTCTGTAAACTAACTTTTTGAATGAAAAACCATTCCTTGAACTATTTTTTTGAATGCAAAAACCATTAAGTTTTCTCTTTTTGATTGAATAACCATTAAACTTTTTCATTTTGATTGCTTAAGTCTCTGAATATATTTTTTTAGTAAATAAGCCATCACATTTTTAAAAATTGGTTACCTATATTTTTTTAACCCCAAATAAGTTACATTAACTGACCAGTAAAAGTCTGAAAGTTTTTTTTTATAGAAATCCAAGGTCTTAATAATTTAAATGTGGAAGTTTAATGATTTTTTCATTCAAACAAATAGTTCAGGGACTTAATAATACAAAATGGAAAAGTTTAATAGTTTTTTTTCATTCAAAAAATAGTTTGTAGACTAAACTATTAAAAATGAGAAAGTTTGTTGGGTTTTTTTAAACTTTTTCTTTCTTTACAATATTTATGTCACATTAAATATCTAATTAAACATGTATAATCAATGATTTAATTAAAAATAAGACAAAAACAAATAATGTAATTGAATATAAGTTTAAATTATTTATTTAAAAATAATGTCTATATATATACACGATTGAGGAAGGTTCAAGTCACCTGATGAAAGTTTATTTCAAATAATAGAAGAGTGTTTAGACTTAATTTAGAAAGATACTATAATCCATCTTATAACTTATTTATTTATAATAGTATTTTTTTAATACAACTTCAATATTACACCATTTTGTACATATTATATGAAAGCAAATTGTCCAATATTATATCGTTCATCTGAATAATATCCACATATGCATATAAGTAATATAAAAACAACTTATCCAATATACATATATGCATGTTATGTGCATGTCATACACATATTATGTGCATACTGTCTAAATGAATGAAACTAAAGTGTTCCTCAGTTCAATCTACATGAAATATGTTAATCAATCATTTTTTGGAAATGTATTCAAAAGTTTAAATGTGCGTTTTTCATTCATATAAATTTGTTTGATTAAATTTTTTA